ATCAATGACCAGAATGCAGTTCTGAAGAGATATTTCTATTTTATAGAATATTTTTTAAAAAAATAAATAAATTTGGTGGCACGCCATGATGGTGATCATTTTCTTAATTTTCAAGTTATAAGAGAGTTTTTTTGTTGCAGTCTTTAGTATCACAATCTTTAAGCTGGCCCTTGTGTGGCACTCTGGTGATTTGAATTTGAGATTTCTGCACTAGTAAATATCTTAAGTTACTTCGAATCTTAAATAGAAAAAGTTGGTTTTCTTGGTGGTATTCAGTAAATTATACCTTAGGCATAGAAATAGATGGTTTTATTTCCAAACAGCAAAAAGTGATAATATTGATTAAAATTATTTGAATAGGAGATAGTTAGGAGAAGATGTCTTGCATGTAACCCATTGAGTCAGGTCTCTTTATTTCATTAATGTGCAGTATTAACAGGCAGGAAGCAAGTAACCTTGTTGTAAAGCTATTTCCTCTGCCCTCCCTTATCCTGGGAGGAAGACATACTGTTCCTTTTTACAAAACAACTATTTTAAAACGGTAAAATATATTTTGTTTTTATTGGGATCTGAAAAGTTGGAATAGTGCTCTTGGTTGATTAAAGCTGTGATATCCTTTTCTAGCATTCTAGGAAGAAATCAATGTGTGTGTATGTGTGTTTGTAGGTGTATGATAATGAAACAACTAAGTGTTCATTTAAATTATGAGTTTGGCCTTTATATACAGCTGGGAAATATGCATCGGAATTGAATATTGTGGAAGTTTAGAGAAATATCTTATATTTTAAACATTGGGGGAAAATGATACCTAATGTTTTATTGCCAAGCACTGTTCATTGGTACATATAGCAGTTCTGTTTTTATATGAATAGCACTGGTTTTTTTTAATTTGAATCCTTGTTGTATCATTAATACAATGACATTTTTGTGCTTTTGTGTATGATATTCTGGAGTTATCCCATTGTGATTTCTACAAGTATAACTGCAAAAGGCTATATCCGTAATGATGTGTGCTGGCCAGCTGATTTTTGGCCTTCCAGAGGGCCTGGGGAGGCCATTTTCATCTTCCCCCGGCTTAAGGAAAACCTTCTGAGCCTGGGGAGGGTGAAAAACAGCCTCCTCCACCCCGCCCTCCAGAAGCTGGAAACAGATCATCTCTGAACTTCTGGTAGACCCATTGGGCCCATTTTTCACCCTCCCCATGCTCCGGAGGCTTTCCTGGAGCCTGGGGAGGGAGAAAACAGCTTCCCCTGTTCCCAGAGGAAATACCAAGCTCATTTTGGAGGAAAGCAGGATGGCACACATGTGGGAGGCTTGGTTGTGCGCACATGCACATGTGGGGGTGTACTTTGCATTATGGGTGCCAGCACATGCATTTTTGGCACCCAACACCAAAAAGGTTAGCCATCTCTGGGCTATATAATTTAAAAAAATTATTTGATCCATATATGCTGAGAAACCATAATCTTAACCATTTGTTTTGGGATTATGTCTACATAAATCTAAACAGTTACTTTTCTAAGTACTTTTAGAAAAGTACTTTTAAAGAATGAAAAGTTAGAACAAGTATTGAGATTCAATTCCCAATGGGACTTTTCTTTCTATTTCTCCCTGTTGTATTGAGCACTTGTCTATTCTGTATCAGGTAAACCTTTCATTTAAATGTGTTTCTTTCTCTTCCCCCCCCCCCCATTCTGAATTTCAAGGAAGTTTCTCATTAATATAGAAAATGTAAATCCATTTCTTGTGTGGAAGGTAAAAGGAAAGTATATTGAAAAAATGTTTTTTTCAGAAAAAAGGTTGGGAAAGAAAATTTTTCATTTTTATGTGATAACTAAAGGTATTGGACAGGAGACTGTGAAGGACTAAGAAAGAAGGCAGTATTAAAGAACTTCTAATAATGTTGCCAACAAACTACTTGAATTGGACTAGGCAATCAACAGGAAACAAAATTGTCTCAAAGGTTTCTCCCCCGCCCCCCCAAAATAACCCCAGATATAAGATGATAGAATGAGAAGGGATTTGAAGAAAATTATAAATATGGAAGATGGGAGTAATGTTTCTTGATGTACTAGAAATTCTATGGAGCAAAATAATTGAATTGCTTTTGTGAACTGTGAACTTATTGCAGTTTCATGATAGAAGCCTGGAATAATGGGTATATGACAACTTTCTGCTTCTTATATTTCTGCTAGCAAGAAACTAATCGAGATCTGTTCCCTGTGCTAGATTTCTTTTTTGTCTCTTGCTGTTTTGTCTCACAGCAGTTGCAGTAGCAATTTAAATTTCCAGGATTGGTTCTAAAATACTTTTGGAAAGCTAAACATTAGCAATTGTTTTATTTGAGAAGCCAAGAAAAAAAAGTAAAAATTATGAAAAAAGGAGGATTCATTAGGTTGCTAGACAATCACTGGCAGCTTTCTGACTGCAAAAGATCAGCTTGTTTTGTCTAAGTTCAATATTCAATGGCCTAAAACTCAATTAGACCAAATTTGGATTTAAATAGTGACTTCTGAAATCCGGGTCCTACGATGTGAGTAATTTGAATATTAGCTGTATATATAAGTATGTACTCATTTTTGGGGAAAAATAAAAATGTCTTTTATCAGGTACCCTGTTTTTATTCCTTGCAGTTCGTTATAGACTTCCTTGCAAGGAATTAAAGTTTGAGGTATCAATATCTTTATGGTACAGAATTAATTAAATCAAATAGAAAATGAAATTCAGACAAATTTTGTTTCAAATTCAAATTGTTTTGCTGCACTTAATGGGAGAAGTTACTTCTTTATGCTGCAAACACTTTTAAGATAAAAGACCTGGTATTGGCATTAATTGTGCCAGGAAATATGATATAATACCTCCATAGTTGGTGGCTTTGGAACTTTTCAAAAGAGCTCTGAAAGGACATTAGACAATCTATTTCATAGATTCTGAGTAATAATTACATTTTTCTAGACAGTTAACTATCCTGATTAACTCCCAGCTTTATCCACCCTGAATAAACATTAGAAATGTGCATGTTGGTTCTTCTGTATCTCCTTTAATTTTGAGCACAATAGATAAATGCCCATACTGATTATTTTGAAGCATGAACCTATTGATGTTATTGGGATAAGTGTTTTTGGTAGAAGATTTTTTTTGGCTTTTCACCACAGGTTTGATTATTAGTTTGATGCATTAACTTTGCATTATATCATTTAGTCTAAATATGGTTTTATGACTTGGATTATTTATTTATGTATTATTTTATTGATTTAATTTATGTAGCCTATTTCAGCTAGTGGGTTTATTATTATATTAGTTTTTTTACTTAGAATATTATCATGTTTTGCAGTAACCTTACAACTGGTATTAGCAAGCCCATTTACCATCTTTATCCTCTAGGCATAGCATTGAATAACTATAATTTATACTTCAATGTCTATTAGTTGCCACAGTTTATTTTTCTGCTTTCTGTCTCTCTGATTTTTTAAATCTTTGAGTCCCAGCAGGTGTCTCAGTGACACCTGCTTGGAACCAATTCTGACTGGAACAGTCTATAAATCCTATAAATATAAATACATATTGACGTCAGCTATTTTCTTAGAACAAAGAATTTAAACAGTGGAGGTTGTTATTCACTGAATGGAGACTAATTGTCAACAATATACAGAGCATTTCATAGTCCAAGAAAGCAAAAGTTAGCTCATAGATGGAGGGAGTTAAAGTTCTATTACTTTTCTGTTTTATACCAGGACATAGAGATTATTCATTCATAAAACCTGATGATACTATACTCAAAAACCTCACAGGCATTTTTCACTGGTTTAGCTACAAGTCGTTATGCTCATTTTTTGTCATTATTGGGTAAATTGAATCAAATAAATAAATAAGTGTTTATTTTATATTAGTTGTAAAACATACATTTAAGACAGGATGAGTTAGGGAGAAAATTGGAAATAGTAATGGAAAGATAAGGAATAGGTAAGGAAGCAAGAAGAGACTGGGAGAAGTGTAGAAACTACATTAGAATTGATTGTTGCCTGATTTAGACAACTGGAAAAGAAAGTTCAAATTTTGCACAAGGACAACAAAAACTTACACAAAATAATATGCACATGTAAGTGGGGGCGGTAAAACAACTGCTTTTCTGCACCTGAAATTTTGTTCATTTATTGTTTAATTTATTAGGGCTTGTTTTCAAGCTTGACCTTACAACATTGGGTTAGAAGTTTGTTTGTTCGTTAAAGTAATTCTAAACAATTTTATAGTGCTTGTGGGCATATCCTTCTGACCTACTTAATTGTTTACAGCGCCTTAATATCTTTTTTATTTTTTTGTAAACTTATCATAGTTTTAATTGGCCATCGGTAATAACCGTGATCATCTAATTCTGATTAATAAGGAACTAATTTTCTTCAAATCACTGTTGTTATGAGCTGTCTCTTTTCATGCCGCATGCATACACCATTTTGGCACTGTCATAAGTCATAGAACAAAGATATGCACAAAATAAATCAAGCTATAACATGCTCTTGTGCAGAATCCTTCCAGTTGCTTCATTTATTAGCAGATTGGTATCTTATGCATCCATCAAAATAGAATCCTATACAAAAGAACACATGGCTGATGTTGAGCAATGGTACAAAATTTAGTACACTACATATCTGATTTCAGTAATAAGGATTGAAATTTTATGAAAGCTGAATTTTTGATTGCATTTAAGTGTTTAGAGTTATTTTTTAAATAGATTAAAGCTGAGATTTTCAAATTTAAATTTTGACTATTTTTGTAATCTTTCAGGAACCAAAAATAACATCAATAAATTGTAAATACTCTTACTATGATGGATAGAAGTAACTTTAATTACTAATAAATGCTCATAATTCGTTCAGAAGCCAAAAGGTGAAGGAAACCTAGAAAGAGGAGTAGTTAGTACCGTTTCCTTAGATAGTTATTGGCTAGTTCAGATTAAGATTAGACACTGTTAATTCTGCTTTATTTATTTATTTATTTTGCAGACATTATCCAAAGCAGTCCTTCACTATGGTGGCTGATACTCCAGAGAACCTGCGCCTTAAGCAGCAGAGTGAACTTCAGAGTCAAGTAAGGCTTTTAACTGTTTGTTCTCATTATGCAGGTTGCTGTATGTTAGCAATTGCATTCCTCCAAACTATACTCAAAGAAGATTTTAGTGAAGAAGTCAATATCATAAAAGAGAGCATGGCTTGATGCTTAAAAATCAAAGCTGCTTTACTTTCCCCTTATTACCTGAAGAAAAGTATGGAAATGAAATAAAATATAAGCTGTTAACTCTACAAGAGATAACACTTATAATGCAACACATGAAAGATAGTATCTTAAAAGTAGCTCAGGAATCCAGAGCATGAAAGTACAATTGTGAAAGTCCTTATATACCTACTAAGAGTGAGAAGGATGAATCAAGGTATAAACATGGCAGATAGTTAAGTTATGAAGAAGTAGGGTGATATGTGTAGAGATAGCATAGAGTAATAGGATTGAGAAGATTCAACCTGAAAGAGGAATTCCTTTATTCAGCATTGAGGACTGTACCTTGTGGATTCTCAAGAGCAGCAATAGTTGAAGCTTTAACTCCATCAATCCTTTGCCTGAATCTCAATTATAAAGGTGTAGAGTCATACCATATTGCACAGAGCAAAACTACATAAAGAATTGTAAAATGTTTTTGCATACTAGGAAAGCAAAGTATGCATTTGAATGCAGAAATAAGTTTCTTATAGTATTAATAAAATCAAATTTTATTCCTAAATCATCATACAAAATTTACCTGGGTGTTGTTCGGTACTAGGCCTTAGCAAGCCAAACCATCTGTATTATATATTATTTTGCAATAAAGATAAGAATGCATGTTGAAATCTGCATATCAAATAATAAATGGTTACATTCAAAGGCTAGTAGAATACAGTAATCCTTAATTTATCGCTACCATTGGGAATAGAATGGAAATTTTGTCGTAGTTGGGTGCAGTTATAAAGTGTGACCAGACCTGATTTTACAACTGTTTTCACTATGTTCTTAAGGAATCACATTATTATTAAGTGACTCCAGCTTCCCCAATTGACTGTTTTTGTTAGAAACCAATTGGAAAAGTCATATATCGTGACTGTAGGGTTTTGCAATTGAATTTCCAAAAGGAAGAAAGAAAAACAAGTAGTGAAAAGCCCCAAGGAGAGCACGCAGGGCTTTCTGAGAGAGTGAGAAGAGACACAGAGTCAGGGAGAGAGAGAAATACAGAGAGACAGAAACACACCCACACAGGGAGACTGGCTGATGGGTGAGTGTCTTTGGTGAGGGCTGAATCAAGTCGAATCTCTCTCTTTTGCTCTCTTGCTGCCTGACTGGCAGGAAATGGCGGGCGGCTACTTCCAGGTTTGCTTTCCGCCTCAAGAGAGAAAGAGTTGTCAGGGTTGAGTGGGACAGGGAATGGGCTCCAGGAGGAGGAGGAGGGGATGCAGTCGCCCCCATTGTGAAGCATGCTTTTGAAAGAGGTGAGATTGGGGAAGGCAGAGGCAACAGAAAGCGGCGTGTTTCAAAGGCAGAGAACAGCATCCCTCTGTGAGAGGCAGCCCATGCCTCTCCACCATCCAACTTGCCAATGGGAGCGCTTCTGCTGGGTCGTCTCCTCCCTCTCAGCTGTTGTGCTCAGCGGGGGGAGCACTTCCCCACGCCCCCCTCTTTTTCTTGGCCCCACCGACAAGGAAGAGGAAGGCCAGGCTTGTGGGGATGGCCCCACCCTGACAAGATCTGCCCCTTCCATTCTCTCTCAGCCCTCTTTGCTGGCAGCAACAGCAAATGTACCACAACGAAGGCAGAGTGCTGTTGCCCCGCAGGGGTCCTTCGCTCCCGCACCAATCTCGTACTGCTACTGCCCCGACAGGACAATGGCTCTTTCATCCCTCTGCCATGACAGGGTGGCAGGGAGACGCAGCAGAGGGCCCAAAGGCTCTAGAGGGCTCCAGAGCAGCAGGTTGTTGATTCCCAGCCTAGGACATTGTAACTTTAATTGAACAGCCATAAGCTGAGGACTACCTGTATTCCTCTTATCAAATTTACTGCAGAAATTAGGGAAATTATTGTCTTTCATTGTTAAATGCAAGTAGCTGTCTCATACCAAAGTAATTGCCAATATACTTATTTTTTCCCCCCAAACCTCCCACTGATGGGTTCTATGAGCTAGGTAGAACTTTTTCACAAAACCCTCATTTCCTCCTTTAGAGTGTGCTAACAATGAGAGAACTTTGCTCGGTGAGGAGGAGGAAGGAGACGTTATAAAGCAAATGGATTCAATGGAAATTTCTTTTTTTCAGTGCATTGATCCCTACAGTAATGGAATAATATTCTACAAGTTCTAACAACATGCTACTACCCTATTTCCCTGACAATAAGACCTCCCTGAATAATAAGCCCTCCCTGAAAATATTACAACACAGCAGCAAGCATGAGGTGACCACTCTCGCTGCCTCCTGCACCTCAAAAATAATAAGACCAAGCACTTATTACAGGGGTCAAAAGAAAATAAGATCCTGTCTTATTTTGGGGGAAACATGATATAACTCAAAGGTCTTTATATAGGTCATAGTTACTTCACTTATTGTTTTTTTATCAATCTTCAATCATTAATCATTTTGCCATTAATAACTTTCTCTGATTTAAAAGAACACTTAAAAGTGGCTGGCCGTAGAACTTGTAATTATAGGCTTGTTAACATGCATTATCCTATATGCATTTCTTGCTCTGTTTTTCTAGTGTCCCTTTCATATAAAACTTCCTTATTTTTTCCCTTGTTCCCCTATCCCCTTTGTTCTAAATGTAAACCCAGACTTATAAGCTGAAACTTGGTAAATGATTAGACAAAGTCATTGATGCTTAAGCTCCTAATTATGATTTGAAGTTTGATGCTCTTTACCAGCATAAATTCATTGATGGAGATAATTGCAAGTCAGAAAACAACTATTTATATATATATATAAACCTTCCCTGGTGCTTCCTGTTACCCCTAGCTTGCTTTTGGTTATTTTTTTCTCCAAGGTATGTGAATAACCCTCAACTAAACAATGAGAAGTCATATTCTTTTATTAAGTATGCAGTACATATGTGGGCCATGAAGACAGCAGAACAATGAGTAAAGTCCACTTTCTTTTGCTTATCCCTGTGCTAGCTAAATAAATAAATAAAGTTTTATCATAGTTCACTTATGTTATTTATCAATTATTTCTCTCCAGTTCTTCTCCTTTAAACTTGCCTTATAATCATATTAGATATTCCATAATGTTTATTTTGTTTCAAAATTGGATTTCATGTCCCACAAGCCTGGTTGCTAATGTTGATTTAACTCTGGGAGAATACATGTTCTTGATCATTGTTTGCAATCTCATGGAAATATTTTTATTTTTCATAAGTGCTCTGCTCTTAATATGTTAAATCTCATATAGAACTGATTTCAGTAAAGAGTCTGAACTCAAGTTCCTCTTGCTGAGTGTTCTCACTGCAGATCCAGGGTGTGAGTATTATGACAAGCAACCATATTTTTCTGGGGATGCTTCCTTGTTCAAATATGACTTGTGTACTACCTGATTTGATCAGTGGCCAGTGCTGGTTTTTAATAGGAAAATTAATGCAAGTCGCTGTTATCTTAAGATAATTGATTTTATTTCCATTTCCTCTGTCCAGTTGTGGTGGCTGAAGGAATTAATGATTCAAGTAAATGGTATCTTGGAGGAAAACATTTGAAGAACTCACAAAGTTATTCAAACTTCTCTTTATATAGTCAAAATCTAAGCTTAATGAGAATTGTTTTTTATATTATTAATTATTATTATTATGTGGTTAATCTTTGGTGAGATTCACAGCCTTTGGAAGCTAGTTAGTAGCTAGCTCAACAGCTTGAGTCCTAACCAAGGACCTAGGAACTGTTAAGGTAACACTGGAGGATATAAGCTATTCCAAGAAGGGTGATTTTTTTGTAGAATCAGATAAATTTAGAATTTCCAAATAGCGAGATAGCCCTTTAGGTATTGCTCCAAGGGCTGCAATTACAATTGGGACAACACACAATTTCTTTTTCTACAGTCGCAAACTTCGTACTTTGTTATTTTTTCTTGCTGCTTCAATTTGTGCATCACGAGGTATTGCAATGTCAATGAACCAAACTTATTTATTTTCACCTATTATTATTATGTCAGGTGTGTTGTAAGACAGGTGCCTGTCAGTCTGAATTCTGAAATCCCACAAGATCTTGACTTTTTCATTCTCTAGAACCTTCTCAACCTGATGTTCCCAGTGGTTTTTGCTGTACTCAAATCCAAACTTTTGGCACAACTTCCAGTGAATGATATACTTTATTCATTAAACATGAAACTCAGCCAACTGAACATTCAAAAATGCATCACAAATACCAGTGACTGGTGCTAATGGTTGATACGGTGTGATGCCAGCATCCTACGTATCAACCAAGTACCTTCTTAAAATATAAGATGTTCTGAGTAGCGCAGTTTTTTCCAGTTCCACTGCAATTGCAGGAAGCTGCAATTTGTTGATGTATCTTGTAAAATTCTTGGACATGGTGCCAAGTGCCCCAATGACAATGGGTATCACTTTTGCATGCTTCATCCATAATCGTGTCGTTTCGATGGCCAGGTCGCGATATTTCATTATTTTTTCTAGTTCTTTGTCTGTGACTCTGGCATCTCCTGGAACTACAATATCAATAAACTGTACGGCTCTCTACAACTGTGATATCTGGCAAGTTGTGCTCCAAGTGACAATCTGTTTGTATTTGAAAGTCCCACAAGATCTTCACCTTCTCATTTTCTATAACTTTTTCCACTTTATGTTCCCATGACTTTCTGGTTACAGGTAAATCATATTTTTTACATAATGACCAGTGGATTAATTTAGCAACTTGGTCATGTCTAGCTTTGTAATCAGTTTGTGCGATTTTGCTGCATTCACATATTAAATGTGAAACAGTTTTGACTTTGTTATTATAAAGTAATAACAAAGTTTGAGTTTGAGTTTGAGTTTTAAGGTTTTAAAGTTTGAGTTTTAAGGCAGTTTGAGTTGTC